TCATCTAACCCTAATATCATCTATTATACTGCAGTCTCGTACATCCCGATACTCATCAACTACAACCATCATGGACTAACCACAGTATCATACATACCATACTGGTATAACATATGTTCAAATTCCTATCCAAAAGAAAGAAGAATATGTCCCTCCAAAAACTCCTCACCACCGCCGCCCGTCCCCTTCCCCCCATCCACGACCCCAACTTCGCCACCCACTTCGACAGCTTCGCCGACTACCGCGTCGTCCTCCTCGGCGACGGCAGCCACGGCACCTCTGAGTTCTACGCCGCCCGTGCCGAGATCACCAAGCGCCTAATCGAGCACCATGGCTTCACCACCGTCGCCGTCGAAGCCGACTGGCCTGACGCTGAAGCCATCGACCGCTATGTGCGCCAACGCCCCGGCCCCCAAGCCCACCTCACCAATGAGAAGGACGAGCCCTTTCAGCGATTTCCAACATGGATGTGGCGTAATCGCGAAATGCAAGACCTAGTCGAGTGGATGCGCGATCACAATGCCAACCTACCAGACCACCAAAAGGCTGGATTCTACGGCCTCGATCTGTACAGCATGGGGGCGTCTATTCGCGCCGTCATAGACTACCTCGACCGCCTGGACCCAGAGGCAGGCAAGCTGGCGCGCCGTCGCTATGGCTGTTTGCAGCCGTGGGTGGACGATCCAACGGCATACGGACTTGCGTCACTGCGCGGATTGGCGGACTGCGAAAAGGGAGTCGTGGACATGTTGCGCGATCTGCTGCGAAAACGACTGCAGTATGCGGAGGAGGACCCGCATAATGGCGAAGAATCGCATAGTAGTCAGCAGAACGCGTATTTAGTGCGTGACGCAGAGAGATACTACAAGGCTATGTATTATAGCTCTGCGTCGTCATGGACGCTGCGAGATACACACATGGTGGATACGCTACGGCGCATCCTTCGTCACAAGCCCCCAGGCAGTAAGGCAGTGGTGTGGGCGCATAATTCGCATTGCGGGGATGCGCGATACACCAGCATGGGCAGTCGGCGCAATGAGGTGAATATCGGGCAACTATGTCGCGAGCAGTTCGGTCGGGATAAGGTTGCGCTGATCGGCTGTGGGACACATACCGGGACTGTGGCGGCTGCGCATGAGTGGGATGAAGATATGGAGATGATGAAGGTGAAGCCGTCGAGACCGGATAGTTGGGAGTGGTTGGCGCATCAGACGGGCATTGAGAGCTTCTTGTTGGATTTGAGGCCGACGAGGATGAGTCCGGAGTTGAGGAGCTTGATGGCTGCGGAGGATCAGCGGTTGGAGAGATTCATTGGCGTCATTTATCGGCCTGATACTGAGCGCATGTCGCATTACTCGCAGGCTGATCTGCAGAACCAGTTCGATGCGTATGTCTGGTTTGATAGCACCGAGGCTGTTAAGCCGTTGGAGCGGGTGCAGCCGAGGACGGCGATGGGGACGGAGGAAACGTATCCATTTGGGTTGTAGAGTAGACTGTAAGTAATGGTAGCATGGACTGTAATGAGTAAAAGTAAATAGTGTTTCAAATTAATGATGATGGACGATATACTTATTGTGATAACTAGATCATGCACAGCACAACACGCTTAGCTAAGCCCTGACGTCAGCTCACCGCCTGCGGGTGTTTGTTTATTCTTGAATCTCGCCTTCGCCCTGCATTCATTTAATTCATGATCCATCCCCCCACACAATCCAATTCTTTGACATCTCGATACCCAATTCCAACGTCACCCGATACAAATTGACCACCACCATGGCGGTTCGACGGTCCGCCCGCCTGCGCAGCCGCCAGGCCACTGAGGTGAGCACACCACCCCCCATCCAACTCAGCCTCCATTCCGATGGGTTGCTCGCGCCCTTGCATGACATTCACTGACTCGACCTTAAGGAGCCTGAGGCCCCTGCCGACCCCGTCGTCACTAACAACAACGCCCCCTGCGACACGAACAATCACAACAACTCCGAGAACACGTCCGAAGTCGACACAACCATGGCTCGTCTCGGCAAACAGCCGGAGAGATTGCCTCCCGTCGTGGAGCACGAGGAGCCAGCTGATGCTGATAAGGATGCCCCCGTGCAGCGGTCGCGGAAGAAGACCAAGACTGAGACCGCGTCTAAAAGAAAGTCCAAGGTTGAAGCTAAAGAGCCTGTTGCTGAGGTGACTCCGGCGATCGCTGAGTCTCAGTCCAAGACGGATGCGACTGAACCTGCCGTTGCTGAGACTGAAAAGGAGCCTACTCCCAAGGCTATGGCTGAACCCGCTGCTGCTGAGACTGAAAAGAAACCTACTCCCAAGGCTATACCTGAACCTGCTTCCAAGCTATCGACTCCTAAGAAATCTATCCCAACTCTCAAGGGCACGCCTATCAACAGAAATACGCCAGCCCAAAAGAACACACCCGTCCACAGAAGCACGCCCGTCCACAAAAGCACACCCACCAGAACCCCCTCCAGCACCCTCGTGCGTCCGTCCCACCAAGAAATGCACCCCAGCAAGGTCCGCCAGAGCACCACCAAGCAGGCAGACTCCGGTCTGATCCTGGGCTTCAAGCCAATCAAGAAGGACGCCGAAGGCAAAGTGATCAAAGACACTCTCGCTGACAACACCCCAACCAAAGCCAAGGCCTCACCCGCTCCTTACTACGGCACCCCCGCGTTCGAATTCAAGTTCTCCTGCGACTCGCAGCTCAGTGACGAGGCGAAGAAGCTCATGGAGACCGTGCGCGAGGATGCAGCCAAGATCAAAGCGCAGATGACCCTGGAGCCCGACCAGAACCGCGCCGAGGCAGCGGACCGGAAGATCGTACAGCCCAAGGGCAAGGCCAGCCGCTTCAGCGACGTGCACATGGCCGAATTTAAGAAGATGGACTCCATTGCTGGTCACGCGTCGGCTTTCCGTGCCACCCCGGGACGCTTCCAGCCAGTGGTCAAAACTCTCAAGAGAACCAACTCCAAGGCGCGCTTGGATGAGTCGGACCGCAACTCGCCATCGCCATCTAAGATTGCACGTCCTTCACCGGCCCTTGCTGCCCCTGCTAGCAACAAACGCGTCAAGCACGACAGGGCTGATGATGCGTCGACGCGTCGTCCCACTGCAGCCAGCCCTCCTAAGCCTGTACAACCCCGGCCCAGATCTACAGTGCGCAGCTCGTTGATGACCCCGACGCGGTCCTCTGCGGCGCGTGCTTCGTCCGTCACCGCAAAGCCGCCCCGCACCTCGATGATCCCGTCGCTCGTCCGGTCTCCAGCTGCGAAGCCGGCCGATGTGCCGCGCACGCCTCAGACGGAATTCAACCCTCGGCTGAAGAGCAACTTGCCCACTTTGGGTAACCTGAAGTCGATCCTCCGCCGCCACCAGCCTTTGTTCTCCAAGGATCCTGCTAAGATTGCCGCGGGCACCCACGTGGCTGCTCCAGACTTTACCTCGAACCTGCTGTTCGGATCGCGAGGCACCACGGAGGAGCCTGCGCAGACGCCGTCGCCCAAGAAGCGCGTGGAGTTCACTCCTAGTGTCAAGGCCCGCCACGAGGAGGTTATATTCTCGCCATCTCCATCGAAAGTTCCGGTTGCCAGTCCCTCGCGGACCATTTCCGACGTTGTCTATCCCACGCTGCCGGTGTTGACTCCAGAGCAGAACAGGGTCAGCGCCAAGTCTCCCGCCCAAGCGACGACCCCTACCATCCGCCATGTACGCCCATCAGATGTGCATGCCAACCCTCTGCCTGAGGTCGCAGGCGTGCCGCACGGAATCGGCCACAAGAAGAGAACCCGTGAGAGTGGTGAAGACACCAAGACTAATGATCTCCCTGAGGTCGCGGGTGTCCCTCACGGCATCGGCCAGAAGAAGAGAAACCGCGCTGCCCTCGAGGATGAGACCGACACTGAGAATGTTCCGCCTGTCGACTCAACCGCGGACGCGCGCAGTGCTAAGCGAATGAAGATGACCTCGCCCTCTCCGATCAAGGCGCCCATTCTGAGTGCCCGCAAGGCTGCGGCCCCTAGCCCAACCAAAGCCGCGACTCCCAGCCCCACCAAGCCTCGCTCGCACACCCCCCTTCGATCGGCGACGACCAGCCGCATGAGCACTCCGCGCATCAGCACCCCGGCCAGTGTGCGCGCACGCAACCGGGGCGTGTTGAGCGTCAGCCGCTTGAACATGCTGGCGCAGCCGAAGAACCGTGGCTAAATTGAATGAGACTAACATTGATTGCATTTCTGAGCGTTGGACGCATGGTGATTACTGCGACATTTCTTGTGATGCTTCTTTTCTTTGGCGGCTGCCGTGTATTTAGTGGTCTGGCTTGGTGTCTCCGGGACTTTGATTCTAGTGAAATTGTAGGCGCTGGGATGCATCCGGTATGCAAGGCGTTCATGATTTGATTGATTGGTGAATACAGAGATTGAGACTGTATCATATTACTTGTTAATGAGTTATCCTCACAACTACACGGATGAAGTAGATGATACCACTATTTCAGCAGCTTGTTCTGGCCTTAGATTGTGTGGTAAACAGTGGCAGTAGATTCAAAAGGAAGGTTGTGATAACATCGCGTGCATTTGCGGCACTTGGGGAGCAACGCATAAGATACAGGCAGAGGCTAGCCAGTGCAAAGGCATCGCTGATACTGACACGTACCATGTCAAGTGGGGTGGGGATACTATGCTAGAAGCAGCCTGTCTGACAGTCGAATTAGGTGATCCAGTGGACTACACCTTCCTCTTTTCTTCCTCTTGTCTCCTTCGCAATTCTCGGAAACTTGCGCATCTTCACCTTCTATAATATCTGCCACTTATTTACGATGACCAGAAAGTCATTAAAAAAGCATCAAGCACCTTTGAAGATCTTTCAGCTCATCCACGATTGCTTACGTCCGAGTCGATGATCCATTCAGCACTAAGCACGCAAGTGCCACATCATGCGATGTGATTAGTTCGATCAATTACCCAGGCGCCTAAAAGGTGGGGTTCATGCATTGAGGCAGATCCCTGTCTTTCAGCTCTGCCAACTCAGCAGAGGGGGATTCTTATTGAAATGGAGATAAACTCCACCCCAGCCTCCTCACAGCAGACTACAGGCTTTTCTGTCTGCCTCAACTTGTTGCCTTTCCACACTTGAGAGAGACTTTTCCTTCAGTACCAGGTCTTCTTTCTGCGTGGGATACCTCATCAGTAGGGTCATCATGGACGAGACTGGGGATGTGAGCCAGCCTGTTGTGAATGAAAAGACTGGAACGTGTTCCTTGTGTTCGTGTCTTGAAAGTTGTTCCTTGTGTTCGTGTCTTGAAGGTATTCAGAATTGGGAGTCCGATGGGAGATATCCAACAAGGGATTCAAATTCAAATTCTTTTTTAAAAGCTCAGCAAATTTTTTTCCATGAGCAGTGCCCAAATTGTGATGATATCCCAAATGATTTGCTCTGTAGGTTTTGCAAACATCTAAGGCTGCGGCACCTGAATAATCACATGACTCAACACATCGAACAACTTGTGTTGAACTTTGGTACGGTTCAGGACATACAGCAGCGGTCTGGCAATTGTGCATTTTGCAGCATTGTTATCCAAGAAGGGTGCTTGAAGGGTTGCAACGAGTATTCGAATTTGATTATGCGAATTGATAATGCAACTCCATACAAGGATATACACTTGGAGTTCAACTTCTACGAGCAAGGTTTGTATCATAGTCATTAGTTAAAGCGTAAACTAATCATGATTGTAAGGTATTGCAAGGCTTCTCGCTAAAGACTATGCTAAATGCATTGGTGGGATTTTTGACAACACCAAACGGACAATATGGCAGCAGCCGATGGTAGACTGGAGCACAGTCCGCATCTGGCTAGAAAATTGCGACAGAGAGCATGGAAGCTCATGCCACAATGGACTCCTAAACTCACCGCCACACGAATTCCGACTTATTGACACGGAAAGAGGATGCGTAGTAATGGCTCCTCCTTCCTGCAGGTATGCTACCCTGAGCTACGTGTGGGGTAGCACTACTGATGAAAATGCACTGGCAACAAAAAGCACCATCAAAATGCTGGAGGAAGAGGGTTACCTTTTTAAAACCCCTATACCGGTGACATTTAAGGATAGCATCTGTGCGTGCATTGAATTGAGGATACGGTACCTCTGGATCGACAGACTGTGCATTGTGCAAGATGACACTACCACCGTGAAAGCCTCACAGATCAATGCCATGGGCGACATATATGGCCATTCTTATCTCACCTTGGTGGATTTAGAAGGCGTCACCATGGATCATGGTCTTCCCGGGGTTTCGCAAGCAAGAGCAAGCCATACTACTCATAAGGCATGCGGACTGAGCATGAGAGCCATGGAAGATAATTTCACTACGCTTGTCAAAAAATCAAAATGGAGATCCCGAGGCTGGACGTTCCAGGAGGCAATGCTATCGACAAGGATGTTGTTCTTTACAGATACAGGTGTATTTTTCGAGTGCTCCCAAGCTTCTCAGGAAGATAGATTTGCACTGTCGACGTCAACGCGGTTACAGTTCGCACCGGCCACAACATACGATAAACTTGTGTTCGAACTTTCATCCAGATCTTTTACTATCAACTCTGATGTCCTCAGGGCATTTTCTGGCATCATGCATTGGAAATATGGGACGGAGCATTACTTTGGCCTACCATATTGTGAATTTGTGAGGGGTATGCTCTGGTGTCCCTGGGATATATTTGCTTATGAAACACCTGTGGCCAGGCGTACAGATACAGGGGATATTTTTCCGACCTGGTCATGGTCTTCTGTAATGGAGCCCGTTTACTTGGATTCATACAACCGCATCCATACATCATTACTGGGTGTATGGGGTACTCCATCTTCCAGGACTAACGAAACGGTGCACATAATTTGGCCTCATAATCAACAACTGTCACGGGACGAGGAGGACGGCTGGGCTCGAGAACTTGGTTTCGCATTGGCGTGGAAGGAGGGTTGCTTTCCAAAACCATTACCGTCAATGCTGAATGTCAGCACCACCTGGAAAGAGTATCGGGCCCTTCTCAGATCCGGATGGGCATCATTCGATAAGCTTAACGAGGAGGCGCTTGGGTTAGCCTATTTGCATGGGGAGGAGGAGATCGAAAAGATATTTTCCTCGTCTTGCATGGAACATGCCAATCAGCCGGGGGCATTGTTGGGGCATACCCAGTCACTTGAAGCTCGAATGATCCAGTGGGGAGACAAAAAAAACAAATTCGTTTTTGGAAGGTTTGTACAGGTAATATTGCACGGCATGCGTGATGACAGGGTAAACATGTGGATTAACTCTAACCCTGCCCATTGGCAATTTCTGGACCATGATTACAGCACGGATCATGATACCAAATTGAATGTGCTTGCTCTTTCAATGAGCCATGTGGACGACATCCTATTCGAACATGAACATCGAGGCAAACAGGGTCGATGGTATGATTCCGAGGAAAGCATACTCTGCTCCTCCTGTGGCCTAGATTTCATTTTTCTGGTCGATGTATTGATTGTCGAAACTCGAGATGGACTCAGTCGACGAGTGACTACAGGGTTGGTCGAGCTTCATGACTGGATTTCTGCGTCGCCTGAATTTCGGAACTTCACTCTTGTTTAGAAGTCTGGAGAGGACTTTCGTCAGGAGATAAGTACGCACTGAGCTTCTGTCTGAGCCCATATAATGGAATAGATTACTGCTTTATATAGATCATATTGGTTACAATTTTTCTTTACGAGCATAATGGCAGTTGATGAATTGACGATCAAGGATAATATCTATTATGATCACCCCTACAATTCCCATGCTGTTACTAAGGTACTATGTCCTATATTCGTAGAGGTACTCACCTAAGTAAGTGTCCAAAAAGCCTATATTTTCCCACCTAAGCCTAAACAAGACGAATCATTTCTCGTCTCTGTATATAACTTCAACAGCTGACTCATAACGAGCGGGAAATGAGCCTATCACTTCATGTTATACTGCTCTTAGTGAACAATCAGTAGAAGGACACAGGGCAAGAGAATTCAAACGGATGTATGCGTGAATGGAATTACCTCAATTCTATTCTACCATTTCACAACTTTTCAAGCACACATGCACTCTGAGTGCACAATAGTCATAAACATCATATATAGCTATCAGCTATCGGGTAAAGTGGATTGCAAATTACAAAATTTGACTAAGATGAGTATTACAAACTACTTCTACCTATTATGTATACACAACAATATACCACTACTATTCACCTCAAACCTAGCCCGCTTCCACATAAGTTCATCTTAGATAGACAATATCTACACCGTAATAGCGCACATATATAGAATACTAATCACCAGCCCAAGAGGGTACGTACCCTTCTGCTCTTTAACATCAATCGCCCTATACTCCAATCATGTATTCTAACGTATGAGATTGAATTGAATTGATACCTCATCCCAATTAACATCCCTATCATCTCTACAAGCCCCCCTCCCTAATGCACACTTTCCACATAATCATAACCAAATCCACCAAATCCACCACTTTAACTCCCCCTATAAAAATAACCAAGCATCAACAACCTAACCCACCAGCCCACACAAACAAAGAAAAACCCTAAACCAAAAACCCAAACCCCAAAACTCAAAACAACAACCGAAGTAAGAACCTACTCCCAACATCCATCCATTCACCTCCACCTCTACCTCTACCTCCTCACACACACAAAAAAAAAAGTCGGTGAACCAAGCCCAACCCAAACCATGTCACCCCCCCAAACCCAAACAGGTAAAGTGTACCATAGCACAAGAAACAAGAACGGGAACCAAGTGGATTCTCTCCCTCTCTCTGTGTGAATCAATGATTATCATTCATGGAGAAATGAGGGGTAAATACCTTACCCTAACCATTTACCAAACTACTTACTCCGTACACTAATACTTTACTCCGTGTTGGGCCAGTGAGAATTATCAACCATGCTTGATTATTTATCTGATTGGTGGGGAAGAAATGACTCACTCACCATAGTTACTACTTAGTTACTTTTCTCAACTGTGGGATTTCGTGCCGGTTGCCGGTTACCGGTTATCGCTTTACTTTCCCTAATTAACAGAGCTCATTTTATGTGCTTATTTTACCGAAGTTGAGGAGTTATTTGACTAGATTTATTTTATGTATTTAACTATATAATTATATACTCAATTCAAATATGTGAAAAAGAAAGATAAACGCCGTCCCATGGATCGATTCCCACCCACGGCTAATGTTAAAAAGTAAAGATAATCAAAAGTGGGTATCGTATCGGGTATCTCCGCAAAGGCAACCAAACCAAACCAAACCAAACCACAACAACTACTAACTATTGCACACACACAATGTTAGTAGTCAGAAGGGTTGTCAGTACTGTACAAAAAAGGCAATCATCAATTCATCAAACCATTATCATCATCAATATCATCATCGTCATAGCAGCTTAGAAACTACTCCCACTATCCTGCCTTCCAAACGGCTTGGTAAAGTCCAACGGACTTAATTCCCGCTCCGTGGCGGAGTTATTCGTCTGTGTCTCCCCACTCCACGATTGCGAGCCGTTCGAGTGTCCCGTGGGTGGGAGATCCAGACTATGGCCATTATCTCGGTCAAAACTTCGGTCTCGACCAATCCCACTTTTCAAGATATTGCCCGTCCCCGCACCACCGCTCTCGGAGTGCTCGAACATGGCGATGGAGAGTTCCTCCGAGTCCATGCGGGGCGGGGGCCGTCGACGGGGTGCGGCGCCGGCCGCGGCGTGGTTGAGGTCTGAGGGGACGCGCGTGGCATCGACGAAGTCGGGCAAGTCATTGTTGTTGTTGTTGAAAATGCCGTTAACAATGTCGCCGTTGCGGCACGGGATCTGCGGCGGGATAGTTACAGGCGAGGCGGCAGCATACAGCGGCGAATCAGGTTTCCAGGTGAGGTTGTGAGTGCTGCGGACAAGAAGGACGAGTTTACCAAGGACAGCGAATTCGAGCTTAAGTTTGACGCTGTAGATGACGGGTTTGATCATGGTTTCGAGGATGTAGAGGTCGCGATATTCGATGACGAGGAGTCCCAAATCCAGAGCGATGATGATCAGATTGATGGCGACGAGCTGGTACATAATTTTGCGTTTGCCGCGGTCGGGATCGAGGCGGAGCATGCGGATGGTTTCCCAGATGTAGAGGACGGAGAGGATGAATTCTTGCAGACAAAAACCGGTCATTTGGATCTTTTCCATAATGTTGTAGCCGGAGATGAAGATGGCTGGATGGGAGGAGAGGTTGGAGCCATAGGTGAGGACGGAGGTGGGGATGTGTAGGAGGAAGGCGTCCACGATAATCATGGTGAGGACGCGGCGGAGGACTTTGGGGTTGGGGAGGACGAGATGCAGGCGCGAGTAGAGCACCACGGATTGGCCGGTTACCATGGCGTACCAGCCGATGGTAATGAGGGTGATGGAGAGGGCGGTAGCGGACGTGAGAGCGAAGTATTTGAGCAGAAAGCCGGCCGAGTAGGGGATTAGACCGAGAGCGGAGATCAAAAGAGACCAGAAGTAGGGACCGCGAAACTGGGAAAAGGTCGCAAAGACGAGAATGACCAGTTCGATGGCGTTATACCAGGATAGAGCGGCCATGGTAGCGATGACGATGCGCAGGGCCAGGCTGTTGCCTGAGTAGGGCCCAACCACGCCATTGCCGGGGGAGGCGGTAGGGCCGGTGATCATGATGCCATTGCAGAGAGACGATATACGATGGGAAGGAAGAAAAGGGAAGTAGAGAAGAGAGGAAGAGGAAGCAGAAGTAGAGAAAGAGGAAGAAGAGGAGAGAGGAAGCGAGACTAAGCGAGTAAGAGTAAGGCTAGACGAGAGAGCGACTAAGAAGAGGAAGAGGCAGACAGAGACAGACAGAAGCAGAGGCCGATGCAGGATCCGGGGCAGGCGGGCAATTACCCGACATGTAATGAATCAAGAATCATGACAGGTCGTCGGGCTCAGATCCTTGCCGTCTGGGGACATTGAAAGGCAGTCAGTGCCCGGCTGACGGGCGGGGGCCGGCGTGACGCGGTGCATTGTTATTTGCAGTTGCCCTTCGCCTGCTTTATTGGGCGGGGAGTGTGTCCTCTCTGTTGTCATTATTAATGTTCAGCTGAGCATTTAACCTGTTAGTTTGGTTAATGTTGTGTTAAACTCTGAGATACACCGTCCTGAGGTGGATACTAGATAGGGTTATGCTGGCATACCTGCTATGCTATACTCCCCTTCCATATGAAATCATATAGGAGAAGAATAAAGGAGAAAATAAACAGTCCTTGCATCCCCACGTGCATTATCCCCCATTATTTTTATTTTAATCATTCATCATGTTATTTTTATCCCTCTGCTCCTTGTCTGAAGAGATAATAATAACTCTAGGGGGCAGTAACAGCAGCAGCAGCAGCTACTGCCACACACAAGGCTGAACCCATTACTTGCTGACATGAGTTTCAGTCCAGTCGGCATTGGATTCCGATCATCACATTCCTTCCATCATCCATCATCACAAATCACCACTAATAATATATTAACCCCAAAAAGAAAGCATGCAAAAAATAACTCCACCCCCAAACTCCATCCCAATATAATTCTATCCCTCTATTCCATCATCATCATCATCACCATCATCATAAGCAACTAACCATCACCCCCTGCCCTCCCCATTATTATTCCCATTTCCATCACCACCAAACGAAGCAACCACTCTATCCACCTCCCCCCTAACCTCCGGCATCGCCCCCCTCATCTCCCTCGCCAACACATCCCGAAAACTCCCAAACGCCTCTTTCTTCCCCTTCAGATCTTGATTCCCGCGCTGGATCAACTCGACGAATTCTCTGGTGTAGATATCCGGATTCCTTGCTGCATCTACGTAATCGATGATCTCGGGGGGGAGTTGGATGCTGTGGATGGGAGGGTCGTTGCTGTTTCCTGGTGATTGGGATTGTGCGTCGGGGTGATTATCGGAGGTGTGTGTGCTGAGAGTGGAGAGCGCGAGGGTGAGGTTTTTTCTATACACGTAACACGTAATCCGTTAGTAGAGTTATAAATATCAGGTGAGAAAGATGGCAGGGATAGCAAGGAGGGTACATTTTGCGAACGAGCTCTTGTTGGGTTTCGGGACCGAGGTAGCCGTGGACGGCGGATTGGATTTCGAACAGGTGTTGGATTACGTCTTTCAGGTCGGCTGAGGCTGATTTTAGTATTAGTTGGATTGAAAACAGGGTATACGTACTGTCGACCGTGCTGAGGGGAATGGGAGCCATGATGAGCTGCTCTGAAACGTGAAGCTTGGAGCTGAAGGGGATTCTTGTTGGATGATGACGAGAGCAGAGAAGAGTCGAGTCCGGGGTAGACTAACCGTTTTGGGTAATACGATGCTACATCCATGTTCCAACTACGGATCCGCCGCTTTATGATTAGACGTACACTCGTTGCTACATTTGACTCTGCTTTGAATGGTCGCGTCCCTAACTCTGCCAATGAAGCGGCTCGAGAAACAATTGAGTACTAAGCCGATTTGGCTGATTCTGTACGTCTTGCGAGGACATGTAGAACCCTACGCAACATTTACAATCAACGTAAAGACATGAATGATCAATGAACAAAATACCCAAAAGGATCACCGCAGTCAATACATACAGCATTTCCCCATGATATTTCCCTATTGAAAGTTGAGTCTGAAATTGTAATCCACATGCAGTTTATGCAATATACGTCGATCAGCGAACCAAAATTCCCTAAAGGACTCACCGTCCGTATCTAACAGCATTCGAAGCTGAGAAAGAAGCAATTATCAAGGCCAAGGGTTAAATATAAATAGTACCCATATCTTGTCCTCTTTCCATGGATGAACTACGATTATATCATCAATATCCTGCAACTGCTTTTGCTTTTCTTTTATATCTACTTTCACAATAGACAAACACAAAGACAGAAACTATCGACAAGATGAAGATAGTGACCGTTCTTTATGCAATGCTCCTCGCTACCTTTGCGGTAGCAATGCCCGCTCAAGCCATTGATCAAGACGAGAAAACAGTTGAGAAGAGACAGAGTGTACGTCGTCTAGTTCCCTGCTTGAGAGATTGATGACTTGAAAAATATAGGCTGACGGTACTGGGATATGGATAGCCTGTATGTGAATAATCTTTCCTGTCTGAAAGATATGTGGAGATTATAGATTGACAGAGATCATGACATATGAATAGTGTGTATGTGATTGATCCTTTCTGTCTAAGATAGAGATAATCAGGGAATATAAACTGACAGGAATGAATGTGGATAGGATATCCCTGGGGGTGGGTGACCCTTCCTAATCCCAAGATAGATAACATGATATAGGCTGACAGTTATATTAATATGGATAGTTTGTATGTGATTGACCTTTTTCTTACCTGAGAGATAACTTCACATTATAGGCTGACAGTGATGGGATTTGAATAGTCTGTATGTGAATGACCTTCCTGTGCCTCAGACATGATTGGATAATACTATAGTACTATAGACTGGTATCATGGAAATTTTCATAGGCGGTATGTGATTGACCTTTTCTGCCTGCCTGCCCTCAGAGAAAACTTGAGACTAGTATAGGTTGACAGCGATGAAATCTGAATAGTGGGCCCTCCTGTGAGTGACCCATTCTGTCTATGATCTTGACTTGGGCATATCTTTTGTTATACTAATTTTGAAATAGTAAAAATCTTGCCGTAAGCTGCCGGATACTGTAGTAATCGGCAAGCTCTTATTCAAGTAAGTAAGACCTCTGAATTACATTATGCTTGTTGTTCACTAACGGACTTTTACTAGAAAGTCCGAGTCATATTGTACTATTCCTCTGTGAGTATGTCATGAATGATTAGGCATTAATTCTGTGAATAGGGTTCTTTAGACGCCTTGGTTTAGGTTTTCCCTATTAAGTTAGGTTTCCCTATACTGTTTTGCAAATGCAAAGGCTTCTTATATATGTTGTAACCATTCTATATGTTCTCTTAGTAGTCTTCTGAACAGTCCGTGAGTAATCAGCACATGCCACGATCCCAGCTGATCCCAGAGCGAAGAGCGGCGCTAATTTAGACATGTTGTGAAGATGGAAAGCCGTCGGCTGTTTAGTAGTGTATACTCATAGAACTATGATTCAATGCAATGCTCGCTCGCTGAAACAAGTCTACCTATGTATACCAGATTAGGCTCTATCTATATTCAACCCTCACATCTGACTCGGCTATATCTCGCGCGTCCGCAGCGGCACCCGCGCCATCTCAATCTCCGTCTCCATCTCTAACCCCGATAGGCTTGGAAATCGCCGACTAAAGTTGGCTTCCCAGTCATCGCCTGCCGTCGTTGCCGAGCTCACCGTCGGACTAGCCGGCTGGCTCTCCGTCCGCGTCTCGAGACCCCCCACCCGGAGCCCCTTGGGCTTGGGTGGCAGGGCCGGTCGCGACGACCCGGTGCGCTGAGAGGCCGCATATCCTGTCGATGCCGTCTCCTGTCGGGGCAGTCCGCGCGATTCGTATCGCTCCTGCATCGATGACGCTGTCGTGCCGCTGACCCGCGATCCCCGCGTGTCCGGACGCGCCTCCGTGGGCTTTGCCTGCAAAGCGGCGCTTGACTCGTCCGTGTATCGCCCGTAGCCCGTCGCCGTCTTGGGCGGAACCGGTGGCCGGTTCGACTCACTCAGCAGCGACTGCACCTTGCTTTGGATCGCCTGCGACCGGGACCCGTCGCCGCCCTTGAAGCCGCCCGCTCCACCCTCGGCCACCCGCCGACGGTACTCCTCCGCCGCCTTGGCTACACGCTTCTCCTCCTGGGAGAGCCGCCGCCGCTCCAGCTCCCGCCGCATCTCCGGCGAAATGTCCTCCCTGTCCATCTCGATCAGGTCGCTGGCCGGCTCTGCCGTCACCTCCGCCGAAGGCAGCACGGGTGTGGGGAACTCTTCCGCCACGGGAGACTGCGCCTTGCTTTCTTGGTTACTGTGTTCGAACCGCCGGAACGCATCGCCAAATCGTCCCGCAAACAGCGTCTTTGTGCCCGACAGAGACAGCGTCGACAAGCTCGATCGTTTTGTGTGCTTGGACGTGCCGCTGTACCGCTTCTCGCGCTTCCGGCTGCTCTCCTCTTCGCGTGCGCGCAGATAGTCCACGTCCGACGAGATGTTGCGGTCGTACGGCTGGTCCGTTTCGGTGCGCGCGTGTTGCAGCGGTGTGCCGCCTTCATACGGGCTGCGTGGCAGGTCAAGGGAGGAGCGCGCGCTCTCTGACCCGCGAGGCAGCTCGAAACGTGCGCTAGCGTGGACAGAAACAGGCCGGGAGCGGCCGTTGGCTGACCGAGATCGAGCAGGCTCCTCCACATCCAGATTGGTAGGTCGGAGTCCGTCAAGCGACGGCCGTGGTGAGGCAGACAGATCGGAGACGCGGTCGTTCGAGACTCGCGGGTTGGGGAAGGACGACGAGGTGGGTGACGGAGCTTTGCTTTGCCGGGCTGCTTTTTTGTCCGCCTCTGTCGGCCACGGTTGGCTGGATGGCCGACGCTGGTGGTCGCTTGACGGGAACTTGAAGATGGGCCGGCTGGATGGCTTGGAGTTCGGCACGCCAGGCGTCGCCGGCGGAGAGGTCATAGTACCAGTCGAGACCATGGCGGGTTTCTGCGGCACAGGCTGGTACAAGGGAACCTGAGGCCGGGCCTCCTCGCGGCAAGTCTCGATCACCTCGGACGACTTGGTCTTGATCGGAGCTGGCTGAGGACGACGTTGAATGGTCGGCTCCGAAGTTGTCTTGGGAAGAGGATCATTTTCTGCCGCGGGGTGTTTGGCAAACGCATCATCTGCCAGAGCATTGGTAAGTCGTTGAGCCAAATCTTCATCTTCCGTTTTCTCGGACACGGTGGGTTCAAAGTCGAATTTGCCCCCTTTCTCGTGCAGGATCTGGAACTGATCCAGCGACGGGAACCGGTTCGAGAAC